ATATGTGTCATTTATTTTTTTTTTTTTTTTTTTTTTTTTTTTTTTTTTTTTGATGTTTAATGATAAAATTTGGAACACTTAAAAACCCGTTGGAAACCAACCCTGGCCTCTATATATTTTAAGGTTGACTTTGTAGGTTCATGTAGACCGCGCATCATTCTCCTTGAACTTTGTTTTTAATCAAGAACAAAAAGAGAAATATTATTATAAAAAAAAAAAAAATGTACAAAAAATAGAAGGACAAGAAGTCTACCAAAAAAAGAGAGGAATTTTTTAAAATTGAATCACATAACAAATCTTTCCTCAAAATCCTCTTTGTAATCCTCAAATTTTTTTAAAATCCTTGCATTCCTTTCGAATCAAATCTCCCAAAATATAGCTAAAGTGATGGCAATCCTAGGAACTTGCAGCTTCTTTTAGAGCCAAATAATCCCTTATAATCAAATCAAAAAGATCTGTATGCAGAGGGAGGAGCCACCACTCCAATCCAGCCATATGAAATAAAGTTTACACCACAATGATGAAGCCCACAGGGTAATGCCAAAAAAGATGGGTCAATGCTCTCTTCATTCCTTCTACACTAAAATAACAATCATTGTGCAAGCCAAAAGTAATTTGATCTCTTTTTGACTAAATCATTATATTAATTTATTATGAGCTAAGGATCATATTAACACTTTAATCTAAGCGGAACATAAGCATTCCAAATCAACTTTTTGAGGAGGAAAAAGAGGAACATTAGGATTTATCAATTTAGGCTCATGGAATAAAGAACTGCAATAAACAAACCCGAGGAATGAAATGGTCACAATTCTTTTATCTATCAATATCCCTTCTCCAAGAAACAACATGAAGAATAGTTAACTAGGCCTTGCCAACAAACTAGTTATGAAATTAAAGAAAGAAATACATTAAATGAAATCTCTCTCTCTTCCACAAACAAAAGTTCAGAAACGCGAATTATATACTCAATGCAAATTTCTAGCAATGGATCACAACAGAAATTTGCCTCAAAAAAATACAAATATATAGACATTGGTGCATTGGACATGAATAATATTTCTAACCAGCTAACTGCAACAAATTGGAGGTAACCACAATATAAAAGTTGATTGTTTGATACTTCATGAATTTAACACCCCTTAAAATTATGCTTAAAAAAATCAGTAAAGGAAAATACGAAAACATGCAATTAAATTGGGGGTACCTATAGAATGTTGTGTTAGAAGGATCCTGGTTAAGTTGAAAGGAAAGTTTTATAGATATTTGTAAGACCTGTTGGCGTTGTATGGTACAAAAGGTTAGAAATCAAGATAATATGTTCAAAAGAATGTGTAGAAGAAATGAGAAAATGTCCTACTGCCATCAGAAGTAGAGCGGGCCATCGATTGATGAATTGAGAAAGATAGGACCGGGGATTCCATTAAATAGAGAAGCTATCGAGGTCACACTTGGGATGTGGGCAAGAACAAATGTTAAGTTACAAGAAAATAAAATAAAGAATGTGTAATGGGGGAATTAAAAAGTGTCACTAACTGAAGAAAAAATAAGGCGAAGTTATTTGTGATGTATGGCCATGTGTAACATAAACCAATTGATGCATCCGTACAAAAAAGTGTAATAGAAGGAAGGCCAAGGGCGTACATGGTTTGGATCTAAAAAGTGATATTCAATATGAAGAAAAATCACTCCAAGCAACAATGGTTTTATATGTAATTTTCTATCTAAAGTGAATTTCCTAGCATTCTCTTTTGTATGCCCTTTTTTTTGTGTGTTGAATTGCGTAGGACCTGTTCAAATTTAGATGATGTAGTTGCCCTATTTTTGCAAGACAAGATCCAAGAGTTCAATGGGAGGGTCACAAGGTGGAAAGGCATTTTGGTTTTCATTTTTAATCAGAAGGTGAAAACCTTTACAAGGAGGAAATCAAGTGGTGGAATTATGAAGAACTTAGAAGTATCTGTTTAGAAAAATGAAATTTGTGGACACCACAAGAAGCTGGACATAAAGAAGGATTAGAGATTTGTATCCTATAGAGGCAGCAAGCAAAGAGAGGGAACGATATTTGTAAACTTGCCAAAAAATGGAAAATATTAGTTTAGTACTAGAAATTAAAGGAGTTGTGGAGCAGAGGAAAGTAGTACCACTAAGTTCTTCCATCGAGGGGCTGTGGGCTTCAATGAGACCCAACCAACTGGTCAGGTTGCATTGAGCATTGTAGAGAGGTTTTAGAAAGATTAAAATGACATCTTGGAGTTCTATATAAGGCTATACTAAGAAATGGAGAAGCCATGGCCAAGATTAAGACATATTGGAATTTTAGTCACATGATGATGATAAAGACCAGTTAGAAGGCATTTTTAGAGGAATATAGAAAGGCTTTAGGATCTCCTAATAGGATGACTAGTTTTGTGTATTCTTCTCTGGATGAGTGAACAAAAAAAAAATTATCAAAAGATTTGTTTCCATGAAGGAGACAATTTCGTAAGTATTTGGAATACTTTTGATCACCACCAAGATACAGCAGAGGGATGTCAGTCCCTTGATGATAGAGTAATTAAGGGTTCAATTATATGGGAAAATAGAGATTTATTCATAAGCTAAGAAGGATCAATTGTAAACTTTCTTTTCTCCCATCCAAGTACATTGGAAATTCACTGTTTATATTACCCATCAAGGTAATTAGGAAGGTTAACTTGAGGCCCTTTTATGGAATAGTGGTGAAAAGCAAAACGGTGGCAAAATAGCTTTGGGATGATGTTTGCCTACCCAAAATGAAGGGCTTGAAAACAGTTAAGAGAAATAATTGAGAAGAAGAGAATGAAAAAACCAATATACATGTTGAGAGAGAGACCCAAAAGAAATAACTAGGGTAACTCTCATAAACACTCTTAACATGTATTGTCCGGTACTATGATGTGGATGTTCATGTGTGTCCAATGTAATATTTTCCTTTTGGTCCAATATCAAACTAAGCTAGAGATTACTTACCTTCCAAGATCTGAATAAGACATGAGCATCTGCAACTTGACCCACTTGACAATTAATTAGTGAAAGGAGCCACCTGCAGCTTCGATAATATCCAAAGCCTCATTTATCAGAAATTGATAACAGATGACCACTCAAAGATACCTGTCAGTTTATAAAAATCAGGCAAGGTTGAAAACAGGAAGAATAGAATGATGGCTAATAATGATTGTAAATTTGCATTACAATGAAATCCTCCTAAACGTAATTTACACATTAAATAGAGTTATGTAGGTATGATAAGGAGAATCATACTCAATAGATTGTAAATTTCTTCTTATTAGAGTGACAGCG